CCCTATACAGGCATCACAAATAGGTTTCATTTTCCATGGATAGGGAAATGCCTGGAGCACCATGATATGAGCAACTTCAAGACCATGCCCTGATTCAGGAGAAAAGGCAAATAAATGGTCCCCATCTATGCCAGTGTCTGCTTTCCCAAGTTGAAGGTAATTCCCTAAAGCTCAATTCAATTCCTAATTTTCTATCCCATTCCTCACTTTGTAACCCACCTCCTAGCTACTTATACACCCATAAAAGCTTTTAGGACTTTAGCATATAGCACTTCACTTTGGGACACAACCTCTACCCTTCCTGAAGGTGATCTACTCAGCCTGCTGTCCTGTCTGCTAATGATCCTCAAATCTCCATGTCCAGACAAGTCCTCATTCCTGAGCGTCAGAAACTTGTCTGCAATTGTCTCTGGGGCTCTGAGCACGTCAGATATGTTCTTCAAAACTCCCCTCCCCTGCAACTCCGAGGTGTTTTCTCCCATCCCAACAGTGTACCTCCATTTGCCCATTTGAACAACCCAAGTCATCTTCAACTCTCCTTTTCCTGCAGTCACCAGTTTCTATGCATTTGGCCTCTGCCATTCCTTTTTTTTAAAAAAGATTTTATTTAATTATTCATGAGATACAGAGAGAGAGAGAGACAGAGAGAGAGAGAGGCAGAGACACAGGCAGAGGGAGAAGCAGGCTCCATGCAGGGAGCCCGACGTGGGACTTGATCCCAGGTCTCCAGGATCAGGCCCTGGGCTGAAGGCGGCGCTAAACCGCTAAGCCACCAAGGCTGTCCAGGCCTCTGCCATTCCTTAAATCTGCTCCCTCCCTTCCCTTCCCACTGCCTCTACCTTGTTCACCATCTGTCTCTTCTCTCAAGTGGACTTGGGAAGTACACTTCAGCTCCCCTTCCCACAGCCATCAGAGTGACCTTTGTAAAACACCAGTCTTCCTAACTTCATGGCTTTACATCACTTACAGGATAAAGATCAAAATTCTTAATCCTTGATACACAACATTGCATAGGTTTGTCCAGGTACCTCTCTCTCTCTTGCTAGACTAGACCCTACTAGGGTAGGAATGTGCACCTCCTTTACTTTGAATTCCCAGTAACCTAATAACAACTTGGAGATACAGAACATACTCAATAAATATTAAGTGAGGTAATGCAAGCAGGTAGAGGAAAAGTATAAAAAGCAACCTCGTTTTAAAGACTCTCTCATGCCAGTTGACATGAGATCATTTTCTACTAGCTCTCACTGCCAATTCATTCATCTCTGTTCTTATTATGAATAGCAGAGGTACAGATATGTTTTTATTTGACAATTAATAAAATATATATCAAGGGTGGAAATGGGGTCTTGATATGAATTTTCTAATATTGGATTCTGGCGTCACCATTTTCAAGGTGTGTGACTTTGGGTAAGATACTTAAACTCTGTAGCCTTTATAACCTCTATACTAATAGTATCTGATTCAAATGGTTCTTATGGAGATTAAAGTGTGTGGAAGAGGAGATGTTCAGTAAATAAGAGCTGTGATTGATACTCTGAAAGAAGTTGCCTGCATGGTTCATTTGTAGGTAAGTGGAGACATTACTGCTGTTAGACAAGAAACATGCATGTATTTCCTAGAATGGGGGAAATGTGTCTTTACTTTTTTCCATAGAGTTCAGGCCATACAGAGTCAGCTTCTGAAGAAGATTGAAAGTTTTTGTCTCTGGTCTTGCCAACTTTTCTCTGTCCCATTGTTTTCTACCCCTCTGTCCTCTCTCTCCAGGGTCCTACTGCTCCTGGAAGAAAGGGAGCAAATCCTACAGCCCTCTGTAGAAATAGGCTTGGGTCTAGTGGGAATAGGTGGGCACTCTTTTTGACTTTCAGTATTATCTTACAATTTATTTATCCATATGTCATAGCAATTGGGTCATGCCTTGACCCAACTGAATAAGCTTACTTATTTTATTTTATTTTATTTTATTTTATTTTTTATGGTCACACATCTGCCTTTATTGGGAGCAGCAGGTGGGACACTTCCAGCAATAGTAAAAAAATTAATTTACAAAAGCAGGGGTTCAGTGAAGCCACCTGGCTGGAACCCTTGGGAGCTCATACGTAGATGCCAACCCAGAGCAGCAGAAAGAGGACTCCAAAGCCCATGAAGACTGAGGCCACCAAGGAGATGAGGAGCTCTTTGTAGATGTCCCGAGTATACTTGGTGGAGGTGACCTCATAAATGAAGAACCAGGCAGTAAAGAACATGCCAGTTGCCAATAGCACTCTGTCAGATGGGGGAAGATGGCAGGGTTCACTGGGCTGGTATATTGGCTCATGGCCTTGAGCTCCATTTCACCAGGTCATCCACCGCTCTGCCACCAGAATAACATGTTGGCAGGAGCTGCTTACTCATTTTAAACTTGAGTTCCATTACTGAACCACAAATTATATTGTATTTTGTATTGGGGTGTTTTTGATCTCTACAAAAAGTGAGTTCATAGTGTTCAACCTAATCACCGAAGAATGATAATTTGTTAACTATAAATATTAAAATGTGTTTGTACAACTATTTTTCTGTTACTGTATTTTTACATTTTTTAACATATTTGGATTCTCAAAAAGATGACTTGGGTTGGAGGTAGATCTCCTTTGCTCTATGAGAAGCCATAGAGTAGAGCCATCTATAAAGCAATACTTTCTTTTACTAACAATAATTATTCTTTATAATATCTCCTCAACGTATTTTTGTGTTAAAAGATCTGCCCCCCCCCCTTTTAAAAGAAAGGTAAGGAGAGAGAGAAAAATAAAAGGCATACTGAGGGGATCACACAGTATATAAAATGACAATAATCATGAGCCACCTATTTCACAAATTACCAGGGACATTACACATGATAATAGAGGCAAAGAACTTTAAAGAGTTAAAAGTACAATCATGAAAGGCAGTCCACTTACAGTGTGCTCCAAAGACCATTTTCAATCTGTGAACTCTTTGTTTCTGGTCCATGGTGAGATAAATATGAAAATTTGAAAGCAAGCATTTAGAAACTGTTATAGAAATTTGACAAAGTAATTTTACATCTGTTGAATCAAATAATAAAAGATTTGGGCTTGTATTCTGTATGTCTGATTTTTTACTTCATTTCTAGTAATTATTTTCATTGTGCTTCACAAAGGCAAAGAAAAACCTGTCCTTCACTACACATAGTTTGTGAAGCATTGATAAAAGGTATTATTATTTCTGAGATTTTACTTAAGAACCATTAAATTTCTAATTATAAACTAGTTACATGTCATTATTTGAGAAACACTGTTTCATACCAAGTGTAAAGAGTTGCCAGCATACAAACAAGTCCAGAACAAGTTTGTTTCGTGTTGGGTAACTTGGTATTTAAGAGTTAGAAACCATTTATCCCACGAAATAACATAAACCTGGGGTTATGCTCTCAGTGTAGCCCAGAAATCCCAGTTATCTCAAAAAATTGCTAAGCTATACTATAGAATTTGATAACAGATATATACTGTAGCCTTCAATAACCTGTCTTCTCCCTCTTCCAACAATGAAAAAGAGAGACTTCTGATTTCCAAATCAGAAAATCTCTCCCTTCCCCATCTGCCCTGAGAAATGGCGATTCCTAGCCCTAGCAGGATCAGTGGTGGGGATAGAGTAAGAAGGGGGCTACTTCTGCAGAAACTGTTTCAGAAGCAACACTAAGGAAAAAAAGAATGGAGTTAAATAGTACTCTTCACACGAGTGACTAGGGAATTAGGAGATGGGGCTTGAGGCAACTCACTGGTTATGTTAATAATGTGAAACTAAAGTTTCTTCAAGATTCTCTGAGATTATGTTGGTTTTGCTGACCTTGAAAGCCCTGGTTCTTTACCACAAACACCTCCGCCCTACACTCTGGGGTGTTCTCCCCTTGGTGGCCCAGCACCAAATCTGGTCTAGGCTTCATCCTGAATTGAGATTTGTCCCTACCAGAGGGACCATGACACAGAAAGGTTCTTTCAAAAGACAGCTGTTTATCTCTCTACCATTCAGCATAACCTAATATCCCTTAGGACTGAATCAGAGATACACACAGAAGCAAAAGGGATGTGTTTTTGGCAAGCGGGGCAGAGGAGGGGGAGGGGGATGAGAAACTAGAATCTGCTTTTATTTACTGATGTTTGTTGAAAACTGGCAATTGTCAGGCCTCCAGGGTGGCAAATAAATACTGTGAACCAGTAGAAGCTTATTTCCGACATACTCATTTGTTGTAACTGTCTCAATCTTAATGACTTAGCTTTCCCTCTTAACATTTTTTTTTCCTTTTTTTTTTTTAAAAAAAAGATTTCACTCATTTATTCATGAAAGACACAAAGAGAGAGAGAGGCAGAGACACAGGCAGAGGGAGAAGCAGGCTACATGCAAGGAGCCCGACGTGGGACTGGATCCCGGGTCTCCAGGATCAGGCCCTGGGCCTAAGGCAGACGCTAAACCGCTGAGCCACCCAGGCTGCCTTTTTTTTCTTTCTTTATTCATGTTATGGCTGTTGAAGTAAAAGAAAACAACCCCCACCCCCCACCCCTGCTCTTATTCCCATGAGCTGAGCTGAGATCAAAAATAGGGTCTACGTCTTGAGGCCTCTGGTCTGGATGAAGCCTTACGGGGAGCAGAGCGTCTACACCTTGTTATATAAGGTAGCTGGTTCCAACCTGCGTTATTTACAAGAGAGAATCCGGAATCTTTTCCTGTAGCGAAAAAGAGTCTCGGAAACTTTATCTAGAAGTTTCTTCCAGGCCCAGGGAGCAGGGACGGTCGGTGGAGACGAGGAGGGGCGGGCTCCGCGGGCTGCTCGCGGCTCCTGGGGGCGCCCGTCGGGGCGAGGCGGGGAAGGGGTCCAGGTGCGCGCCCGAGCCTCCGCGGGGCGTCCGGGGCCGGCGCCTGGGTGAGCCCGCGGTGACAAAGGCCAAGGGCCGGGCCGGGGCCGGGGCCGGGGCCGGGGCGGGGCCGGGGCCGGGGCGGAGCGCGGCCTGAGCGGGGAGGCGGGCGCCGCGCGCAGGGCTCCCCGACCCGCGCCAGCGAGGCGGCGCCGGCTCCCGCGCCATGGGGCGGCTGCTGGCCGTGGGCTTGCTGGGGATAGCGCTGGCGCTCCTGGGCGAGAGGCTCCTGGCGCTCAGGTAGGTGGGGGGCCCCGAGCCGTCGGCGCGCGGCCTGGCCGGGGCGCGGGGCGGGGGGCGCGGGGGGCGGAGGGGGCCGGAGGGGGGCGGAGGGGGGCGGAGGGGGGCGGGCTCCCCGAGCGGCCCCCGCCCCGGGGCCCCCAGGCCCGGCCGGCCCGGGCTGCGGGGGAGGGCGCAGGCCGAGCCGGGAATCTCGAGCTGCGGGCGGGGAGCCCCGAGTGCTGGCAGCGCCGCAGCTCGGTGCACACCTGGCCCCCGCGCCCGGCTCCTGGCCCCCGCGCCCGGCTCCTGGCCCCCGCGCCCCGCACCGGGTGGGCCGGCGCTGCAGACTTCCCGGGAAGTGGAGGCGCCCTTGCAGCCTCGCAGGGTTCTTTTCCACCCGGTTGGACCAGCGGGTGCTTTGCAGTTGCAAACCCAGCGCTTCAGCTTTGTTAGCAGAACTAGTATTACTCGTGCACCGAACCTTTAGTTATAAAGATTTGTTTCAGATCTTGGGGGCTGCTGTGCTGCTCTTTGCTGCCCAGACCAGTCGCCGTCGGTAATAGAGCTGCTCACCATCCCTTCCCCCGCGTAGTTGGAGAAACTTTTCAACTTTCTAATCTTGGCGCTGTGGAGATCGAAGTGACTCGAGATCCTCAGCTACTGTTCTTACATCACTTCCTTATTTATGGCCACTAGGGAACCCTGGGGCCGGAATGTCAGACAGCATGAGCCTGGTCCATCTCCCAGTTTAATTGTGAGGAAAACCGCGGATGCGTGGACATATTAACCAACTCAAATTTTAGAAGCCTCCTGCAAAAGGATTCCAGAAATAGTGAGCACCTTCTGTGTATGGTGTGCCCTCCTAGACCCCTGTAATGGAGTGAGGCACGGTCCTTAATCTCTAAATTCACTCTATGCCAGGGGAGGAGAGAAATAAAACAAATATATCCATTAGGATGTCCAGACCAGGGACAAACCAACCCCTACAGGCTTAAGGGGAAAGATTCCAGCCCCTGAAGGTGGCATTCAGGAGGAAGAGACTATTTGACGTTAGCCTTGAAGGATCAGTGAAACACATATGGGGTCATTCCAGATGAAAAGTGCAGCCCCAACAGAGGGGAAAGGTGGTGAAGTTTGGAGACTAGCTGTAGACCAGCTTGAGGGGAGCATAAAGTTAAGGGATGAGAAGAGTCAGGGTTGGGGAAAAGGTGGGTCTTGAGGTGGTTAATTAGAAGTTCAAGAATTGGGGCCTGCTTTGATAGGCAAGGCAGAACTATTGATGTTTGTGTATGTGTGTTTAAATAGGAATCATATAAAATACAATCAGTTGCTGTGCTATAAAGCAGAATTAATTGCGCTGCTGTAGAGATGAAGCTGGAAGGACGGATTGGAAGAGAGCAGTAGTTCTCCATCCTGGCTGTACCTTAGCATCTCCTGGTAGGCTGATGTCTGGGCTGGACCCCTAGAGATTCATATCCAGCTGGTCTGTGTGGGGCCCTGGGGATGAGTGTTTTTTATTTTTAAAAATTCTCCTTATAATTGTAATATGCAGTTACAATTGAGAAGTAGTAGAACAGAGAGTGAATAGACGTGGGGAAACTCGTTAAGGTAGTTGCAGTAGTTTGGAGAGAATAACAGGACAGGGGCCCATACTCTGGAGCCTCACTGAGAAAGGGGGACATCAAAGGTGATACCAGGGCTTCTGTCTCTACCGTCCTGGAGCTGGAGCTTCATCTGCTGATAGAGGGATGCAAGTAGGAGGAACACATGTGGTGGAGGAAGGATTGCTTACTGGTAGAAAATGGACATGCTGACCTTAATTTTCCTGTTACGTAAATACCCAAACCTGCTCTGCAGAACGTTCTTGAGATGGATGATTTTGTACGACTGTCCAACTTTCAGTTTCAAAGGTGATACCACTAAAATGTACAAGCTCATTAAATTTCCCTAAAGTCCAAACCACCCGTATTCCCACAAGTTGAAGTTTTCCCAAATAATGGTTTCTTCTTCTTAATAATCTTCAAGTTTTAAATTTAAGTCCCTTTAAATGGTAATTGTAGTTGCAAAACCAAGAAAAAGTAAATAAGGCTTATTTACATAGAATGTACCTTATAGGTAATTCACAATTTAATGCGTCTTTTCTTTATAAAGATTTGACCGCAATACATTTTACTGAGCAGTGACTTTCTAGGTCACTAGATCTAACTTCATTGGATAGTTGGAGTCCCAAATCAGTTGATGTGAGAACATTAGGATATGTGATAGGTGGCTAGATGCAGCAAACAAAAATGCAGGATGCCCAGTTAAATGCGAATTTCAGATAACCAACAAATCATTTTGTTATATAAGCATATCCCATTGCAATATTGGGGCATAATTGTACTAAAATATCATTCTTTATTTGAAATTCAAATTTTGGCGTCTTGTATTTTATCTGGTAACCTTGTGATTGTGGAATATCAAGTGCCTGCTGTTTACAGGGTTATAGGTGGAGTGCTCAAATGCATAGCATCTCTCCTTTTACACCCTAGGGTCTATTTTGAAAAGCAGCATGTTCCTACTTCCCCATAAGGAAAGGCTCTTCAAAAAACAGGCTGGTTTTTGAAATAGGTTTCCTCGCTATTTCATTTTTTTAAAAAGATTTTATTTATTTATTCATGAGAGACACACACACACAGAGAGAAAGGGGGGCAGAGACACAGGCAGAGGGAGAAGCAGGCTCCATCTCCACGCAGGGAGCCCGATGGGGGACTCCATCCCGGGTCTCCAGGATCACACCCTGGGCTGAAAGTAGTGCTAAACTGCTGAGCCATCAGGGCTGCCCCCTGCTATTTCATTATTCTATTTTTAGAGATGGCACTTTGTACTTAGGCACTCAAGTTGTTTCTCTCCCCCAGGGTATTCACTTAAACTTCAATTTGAATTTCAGATAAATAATGGATAATGAATATTTTTTTAGTATAAGTATATCCCAGATGGATAAATGGAATCAAAGCCATCTCTTTCCTTCTGGACTGTAACTGGCTAAAGTTCTCAGGGGAGGATGGCATATTACACCCAAGTTTTCCACTCCTCCCAAGTTGAGCAATAAAGGGGAAAATAGAACTACGCAAATATCCCCAAGCCAGTTGCTACCTGTTGCAAAGTACACACCCTTGGATGAATCATGAGGCTTGAGTACATCAGAGACCCACGCATGAGCAGGAATCCCTAAACAGGCATCTGAACATTCTGCCTTTTGCGTGATAGATTTTATGACAGTTACACCAAAAAGCCATCCAGACTGCTTTTGAACACTTCTGCAAGGTCAGGCTTTATTTTTTAACTACCATCTTCCCTACCATGTATTGTGTGACTACTGTGTGCTGATCATTGTGTCAAAAGTGTCAAACGTTCTTTAATATTAAGCCAAAATGTACATTTAAAAAAATATATATATTTTTTTACTTATTGAGAGAGAGAGAGCAAGGGGGAGATGCAGAGGGAGAGAGAGAGAGAATCTCAAGCAGACTTCTTGCTGAGTGTGGAACCCCATGTGGGGCTCGATCCCACAACAGATACCATGACCTGAGCCAAAATCAGGAGTGAGGTGCTTAACCACCCAGGTGTCCCTAAGCCAAAATATACATACATGTACTGACATTTGGAAAGAAAGCCTTTTACATTTATGCCTTCATTCTGCAATAATGTCTTCCTTTCTGTATTAGACATGTTAAAACTGAGGCTGGAGGAGGTCAACTAGTTATTTCAGCAGGTAATTGGTGCTGAACCTATACTCCAAACCAAGTCTTCTGGATGCCCCAATTTCCTCACTGCCTCTTAGCTTTCCTGCCTTTGGAGCAAATTCCAGCCTAAGATGCTTACTCACAAATTCTTAGCTACTAAGTACTAAAAGCATTACAGGGGCCCAAGGGGTGAATTCCAATGGGTTTTTCAAGTCTGTATATAAAAGATAAAGCCCCCGTTTGCCTATATTTAAGTCTGTACTTAAAAGATAAAGCCCCACAAGTAGTTTGTAAATTCAGAGGCCATGAAATATGGAACAAAGCCATGCCAGGTAGTAACACTGTGTTCCTAGTTTGCTGAAGATGAGGCAACATAATAACTAATTGCCCCTCTCCTCCCACTCTGTATGGATAATGCTGTCTCCTGAGTAAAAGAAATGGAAATTGAGGGGCACCTGGGTGGCTCAGTTGGCTGGGCACCTGCCTTCAGCTCAGGTCATGAACCCAGGGTCCTGTGATCGAGCCCCACAAAGGGCTCTCTGTTCAGCAGAGAATCTGTTTCTCCCTCTTCCTCTGGCCCCTCCCTCTGCTCTTGCTCTCACTCTCTCAAATAAATAAATAAAATCTTTTTAAAAAAACATTTAAAAAATAGAAATTGATTTCATGGTCATGACTATTGGCTAAGGGTTCATGCTTGTGGCTAGATAGCCTGAATTCATTTCTTAGCTCCATTGTTTACCTGGGTTCTTGGCTTTTTATTTCACCTTTCTGTACCTCAGTGTCCTAACCTGTAGGATGAGAATATTAATACTACACACTCCATAGTGGGGCCATGAAAAATAAAAGAGTTCATTCTTGTAAAGTGCTAAAACAACACCAAATATATAGTAAGCGTTCAGTGAAAGTTACCTGTAATGACAATGTGCAAACAGGGGCCCTTAGACTTTTGTGACATAGATCTGTTTGGCAGTCTGTTAAAGCCTTGGCTTCTTAGCATTATGCTTTTATTTTATTTAAATTTTTTTTGTGTGTACATGTGGTGCTCCTCGTTTGTTTTTGTTTTGTTTTTATTTTAATTCCATTTGTTAACATACAATGTTATATTAGGCTCAAGTGTACAATATAGTGATTCAGCACTTCCATACATCACCCTGTACTCCTCAAGATAAGTGCCCTCCTTAATCCCCATCACCTATCTCATCCCCCTCCCCCCAACCTCCCTCTGGTAACCATCAGTTTGTTCTCTCTAATTAACATTTTATTTTTTATTTCTCTCTCTTCCTCCCTCTTTCTCCCTCCTTTGCTCATTTGTTTTTTTTTTCCTTAAACTCCACATATGAGTGAAGTCATATGGTATTTGTCTTTCTCTGACTTATTTCACTTAGCATAGTACCCTCTAGCTCCATCTATGTCATTGCAAATGGCAAGATTTCATTCTTTTTTATGGCTGAATGCTGTTCTATGTTATATATATATACCACATGTTCTTTATCTATTGATCAGTTGATGGACCCTTGGTCAACATCATGTTTTTAAATGCATAAAATAAAATACACAGGATTCCAAGACAAAATTAAATACTATTTGAGTTAATACTAATTTATATACTTTAATACCATTACCAACCTATTTTTAAAATCTAATGTAAGATATAATAACATAGGCTTCTTAATTAAAGCCTTAAATAGATATAAAGGTAGTTAAATATGTAGCTATAGATATTTTGAAGTAGTGGTGAGTATAAATGATATTTTGAGATATTTACTATAACTGAAATGTGATATTTACTATAACAGTATCTGCGATTTCTGTTTTGACAGAGGGACACAGATGCTGCTAATAGAAAGTTCTGTGGTTTCTTGCCTGCACTCATCATCAGAGGAAATGCTTAATTTCAGAAGGTTTAAATAAAGATGTATTTTTCCCCCATCCATGTTCACGGATCCCTGAATTTTACCCATGGACTCTTTGAAGGTCACTGGACCCCAAGATGAGGAAACTTGATGTACATGTGTCTGGTGGATGTCATTGGGGAAATGATTGCTGGCTCAGTTGAAGGAAGACAGTGTATTTTTTTAAAAGATTTTATTTATTTGTTCATGATAGACACACAGAGAGAGGCAGAGACATAGGCAGAGGGAGAAGCAGGCTCCATGCAGGGACCAGATGTGAGACTCCATACCAGGACCCTGGAATCACACCCTGAGCCGAAGGCAGACGTTCAACCCCTGAGCCACTCAGGTGCACCAGGGACACAATGTATTTGCTTTGTTGTATTATACCTATCACATAGTTATGACTCAAAGGAAAATAACCAACTTTTAATGAAAAAGAAGAGGAAAGTGAGAAAAGCAAAGGGAACCCAGAGCAGTAGTGGTTGCCTGGAATGTTGTGTGTGAGGATGGCTATGGATTAAAGGGAAAGAATGCTGGGATTGATTAGCAATGTCTGCATGACAGCAGACAGCTGTCTCTGACCTAGTATATTCATAAGCAGGCTATGGACATAAGTGGTAGGAAGCAAGTAGGCTGTGCCAAAATGTCACTTATTTGTGTTTGTACCATTTACTTATTTATTTTTAATTTGGCCTGAATTAACTAGCATTTAGGCTTATTGATGTACTAGCCCAAAGATGTTTGTGTAGCTTTCTCTTGTATATTCCCCCAAACTTCTTAATTCTATTAACAGTTAAGAGTGCTTTCAGCCTCAAGTAACATACCTCAATTATACTTCAATTAATTATAACATATACAAATATAAGGCTTATTTTTCTCACATGATAAAAACTTTGTAGGAGAGTCATTCTACAGCTTGTCCCTTAAGCCCATGATCATATCAAAAAATTAGGTTCTTATAGTTTTGTCCTTCAATCCTTCACTTTTGGCTTTCTGTCTTCAATCTTGTCATGTTAAGGCTGCTGAATGATTGTTACAGTCCTGAGCATGGCATGTGTGGTCAAATCATGAAGAGAGAAGGGGTGACTCCAGTTAGCACTATTCTTGTATCTGCCTTTTTTATCAGGAACAAAAATCTTTCTCCAAAGCCCAAGTCATAGGATTGCCCCTAAGTATAAAGGAGGCTGGGAAAGCAAATATTTGGCTTGTCTCTCTCTGCAATGGAAAGGAGCAAGGAAGAAAGGAAGTGAGAATGGCTTTAGGTTTGTCGCTAATAGGGCCTACCACCCTGGAATACAGAAGTTCAGTAATGAATAGGGAACTGGTACTTCTACCAGGTAAAAAGCCGAGCAGTTTTCCACTGAATGAATTTGAAAGTCTCGATGGGTCACAAAGGTTGGAAGCAAAATCCCATCTGTCTTTTATTATAAAAGAAAGAAAGAAAAAATGACCTGGTTAACCAGAATTTATGCACAGCCCATGTGTAATTCTCGTTTGAATAGTCGGCAGTCTGTGTATTTAGAGATGATATTGTACAACTTAACTAGTTGATGAAGATTGCCCTATTAGCAGTGTGTAATTATCAGTCATCTTTGCAGATCTAAGTTGACTCTAAAAAATAACCCATATTAAACCATTTAAACACATCTGAATTTTATTTTATCCATATAATTTATCTTTGAAAATGGTAGATGACAATTCTCATTATCTATTTTTATATCGTTAAATGGGCATAATAGTAGGTTGTATGAAAGTGACACCCAAACCAATGCATGATACAGAAACTTGATGAAACCATAGCTGGAACCTACTGACATATCTCCATTCTGGAGTCATGCAGTGTCCACTGAACCTGGGAGGTCAACTAGCCTCATCCTTATTTTATGCATAAAGAAGACTGAAGCCCATAGAGAGTCAAATCAGGTAGCTTTGCTGCTAAGACAGAAACACAGATCTCTTCACTCTTTTTGAGAAAAATACCAGAGTGGGTTAGAGCACTGCTTCTGGAAGGTTTTTCCCAGCAGGTGCCAGACCTCAGCAAAGTTCCTTCACCTCTGAGTCACTTTCCTCATCCCTAAAGCAGGGACAGTGGTACGTACTTAGGGTTGTTTCTACAATTAAATGAAGTCATTCAGCCTACCACATTAGGTGAAATATACATATTTCTGTCCTCCCCCCCCCCTTTAAATCACTCCTGGGACTTGTAAATGTGAGATTTATGGTCTTTTTTTATTGCTTTACTTTTAAAGACTTATTTTTAATTTTTATTATGCCTGTATATTTTACATATTTATTTTATTCACTTTAATTTTTATTTTGTTGCCTTATTGCTATATTGTTTCGAGAAATTTTGACACTATTTGAATTATACAATTTGAAGTAACACACTGATGAACATTTTAGTTAGAGACTTTATATACAGACTTTATATACGAGATATGAGTTGCCAAAATATATAGTCGCTACCACCTGTTCATAATTCTGGGTTAGGTAGGCCTCCGCCTTCTTCCACATTCCTGAGACTGGTAACCTTCCCTAAATCCTGTGTCTAGAAGTCAGACGCTGTCAGTGATATGAAAAGGAGAGGGACAAGCGGCAAATTGTCAGTTTTATCTCTTAAATGTGTGGTATGTGTGACTCACTTTGAAGAAATGTAAACTAGTCTGTGAGCATTATGATTATTAATGACTGTAGAGAACAGAAAGAGAAGGTGAGAGAGAGCTAGGGACGAGAAGGGAAGGCCTACAACATGTGGCTTCTAAAGAAGAGTTCCCAGATGCGTTTGGCCAGACTGCTTTGTGGTCCTCTTCCGGGCCCGGGGGTGGGGAAGATATTGTATTACAGTTCACCATCTCCTCATTATTTCTGCACTTTTACTCTTTGTGAAACAACAGCATGTACTTTTGTTACAGTAGTTGGTGTTCTCCAAAGTTCTCACCCAATAAATGTTGTGATGGGGGCAGGACCTCCTCCATGTATTTCTTAATGGCTGTTTGTGGGGTATCTTTTGTGTGCCTGGCTCTGAACCCACATCCTCTCTCGGCCTCCTGTCAGGCACTGTGTCATTTTGCAGAGGGCCTGGGTGTTTTTTGGCTCCTTTGGGCCCTCGGGAGGGAGACAGGGCTTCTGGTTCTACATCTGGAGCTCTTCCCGTAACACCAGAGCCGTGAGAAATGTGACCTGGTGGTGCCGTGTTTGTATTTGCATTGGAACTTGCATTGCAAGTTTTATTTGTTGAGTTATTGGCTTTCTTTTATGACCCACATTCACATATAGAACTTTGTGATATGCATTTTTATTTTAACTTCATTTCTGGTGCGATTTTATGTTCCTACCCTTGTTTTTCTATCTTCTCTTTTATCTGCTTTAGATTTATGCTGTGTTTTATGTATTGCTGTAAGCCTCTTTAAACCCTGTCTGCAACAAAGCAAGGAATACATAAACAGATAGATTTTTTTTTTTTTTAAACAGGAATCGACTTAAAGCCTCCAGAGAAGTAGAATCTGTAGACCTTCCAAACTGCCACCTCATTAAAGGAATCGGTAAGTATGAGAAAATGCTGGCTATACACCCTACATCATTTGGCCACAAACACAAAAAAACTCATTAACAGTATTTTGGCATGCCACTAGTGTTTATCAGAGGAAAAATCACATTAAATCAACAAAAACCTCTTCAGTCAATCTTTTTTTGATCTCATGCACCTGTATTTCTTCTCTTTCTCACTCTTGCTGCAATTTGTTAATTATTTGTGTAATCTTATGTTTATTGTTTGATTTCTTGCTTGTTTAGTGACGTTTCTGAACCAGTTTTATAAAGTCTGTATCTTCACTGTGTGGCCCCTGGAAGTGGTGCTCTGACAGCGTAGCAGTCAGCTAGTGAAGGTGTGAGAAGGAAGAGAAGTAACAAAATGGAAAATAAAAATCTGTCAACAAAAATCTCCATCCCTATAGAAATAACTCTAGAGATAAAGTTTTTCTTTCCAGCTCAAAGGCAAGCAAACATATGCACACATACATATTTTTCACAAATGGCATCTTATTGTAAGATTATATTCTACAACCTGCTTATTCCAAATGCAGTGTGAACAGCTTCCCACGTCAACACATGTAGGTCTACCTCAATCTTTTTAATGTTTGCAGGTACCAGGATTTATTTAATCATTTCCCTCCTAATGCACATTCGGATGGTTGTAGTTTTTTTGCAACTACAAACAAATCAGTGACCATCATTGTACATAGAGCTCTTGTATATCTTTAGGGTGAATTCTTAAATCTTTATTTATTTTTTTATTTGTTTATGATAGTCACAGAGAGAGAGAGAGAGGCAGAGACACAGGCAGAGCGAGAAGCAGGCTCCATGCACCGGAAGCCCGACGTGGGATTCGATCCGGGATGGGATCCCCAGGATCTCGCCCGGGGCCAAAGGCAGGCGCCAAACCGCTGCGCCACCCAGGGATCCCTTTAGGGTGAATTCTTAATAGTGAGATTGTCGTTCAGTTAGCATATCTGTTTAAAGTTTTGATAGTTGGGCCGCCTGAGTGGTTCAGTTGGTTGGGGGTCCAACTCTTAGTTTCATCTCAGGTCATGATCTCAGGGTTGAGGGATCAAACCCCAAACTGGGCTCCACTCTGAGTGTGGAGCCTGCTTGGGATTATCTTCCCCTCTCTCCCCACTCACGTGTTTGTGTGTGTGTGTGTGTGTGTGTGTGTGTGAGCATGTGCGCAAGTGCATGCACCCGTGGATACACTCTTCCTCCCTCTCTCTAAAAAAATAAATAAATAAATATTAAAAAATATTAAAAATTTTAGCCATTGTTATGTTGCCCTGGAGTTGGCAATGCTAATAAACTCAGTAGCTCATATTTATAAGCATATTTACCACAGACAGGGCTCAAAATGCTCTTTGAGCAAAAACAAACTAGTGATCCTCTGCTGGATCACATGCAAGAAGGCTTCATTTTCATGAAACCTATCAGTTTTCAGAGCAGCCTTCTCTTCTTCAAACTTTCTTTTTGGTTCTGTTTCTTGCCTCTTCTTTAAACATCTGTTTTTTATGTGCCCTGTCTACTATTTTCTATTGCTACTTTGATACTTTTTCCCAGTCCTATCTCCCTAGGCCTAGATTCCTTGACTTCTTTCTCCTGAAGCTTCTTCTCTTTGTTACTGTGGCCCACACACTTAGCAGGAGGATACAAACTCAGTATCAAATACCAGACAGTCTAGATCTGCGCTGGATAAGGCAGACTGTTCTAGAAATAAGGTTATCTGGAGTCGGAAGAAACTCTGCCACTCTATCCTGCCTTCTGATTGCAATCATGAAGAGCCCTCTCAAAACTGGCCACAAAGCAAAAGCCAGATGGCGTCTGTGAGGGATGTTGTACAAGGTTGGGAGGTTGAGTCAGTGATCTTGAAGGTTACTTTTGCTACTGAGTTAATAATTGTCAAATTATTAAACAGCCCTTGGCCCCGTGGAGCCCACCTTCTGTGAATTGAAGTCTCAGAGTAGACAATAGGGCACAGCCAGACACATTACAGGATGAACCGCCAAGTGTATTGCTGTTACAACTCACTGGGATGGAGGGCTCCTCGGAGAAAAACAAGCCCAAAGACATTTGTATTCTGAACAGGCGTCTGTCTGTGTTTGTGACCTTTATGTTGTGATGTGTGTGAGCTGCTGTCTGGAATTGGAAAGAATGAGGAAATATGTCACCTATGGCCCTTCTTGTGAAGTGTTTAATGCCTCTGAGGCACTTCAAAAGGCAACAGAGCGAAGACGATGAGTGATTAGAAGCACATTTGGGATACATTTTTAGGTCTAATTAGAATTGTGCCTTTTTTCCTTTTTTTTTTGCTCTGTGGTTAGCACACACTCTATGAACATTTGTTGAATGCTATGTTAGTGATGCATAATGGTTAATAATAGCATGTGTTTTTATATTTTTAATTTTTTTTAATAACAAGCACTTATTTGGTGGTCTTTTGCATTACAAGGAATAACAGTGTGCTGGGCATATACATTCGCATACAGGAAAAAGCAACTTCTTATGGTAGGCGACAGGGTAGAAGGGTTCTCTTTTTTAGTTTGCACTTTGGAAACAGTAGTAGTCATGCACTTGAGGCCAGCTATCCCTCCAAGAGGTAAGACCACTTTTCCCTACCCTTCCATCCCCATCAACACCCATACTCACACCACACACACCCACATATACACACTAATGCTACATGACTAGAAATGAACTCTTTGCAATTCTTGGGTGCTTTATACATATCATCTCATGTCTTTCTGTTTTTTAATAAATAGTTATCTACCACATATCATACAGGATATGTGCTTTTTGTGAGTCACAAAGTAGGCTCACTGTCCTTTTTTTTTTTTTTTTTTTGTATTCCTTCCCATTGTATCTTACAGACAGAAACCAAGCTTTTACCCAAGATTTGGCCTAATGTCAGCATCTAAATAATAAAAATTATAGTGACAGGAGCTAGTTAAGTCTGTTTGAAGCTTAAAAGCTTAAAACATTTTCTAAATGTCTTTGCAAATGCATGCATTCAGAGTTCTGGACTAAAATAAAATTTTGAATGGATTGTCTCTTTTGAGTTAATTAGCGGTTTTATACACTTGGCAATCAAGACCTTTACAAAAACTGCTACTCGGGAGATTAAAAGAAAAAAGCATTAAAGTTTGCAGCTCTTGTGATCAGTTGCTTTACAGTCTACCTATGAAAGGAAAATAAAATATATGCTACTGTGAGATTTAGATTTCTTTTTTCTTTTCTTTTTATGACAGAGAAGGACCCAAGGCTCAGAAGGGCTTAGTACCTTCTGCAAATTCTCTTTCCAATATAGTATCTCCTCCCAGAGTGGTTAACACACATACCTCACCAGTGAGCCAAAAAGATGGAGAATAATAGGTACATTACATATTAGATACTCTATTGGGAATGGCAAGGGCTGATTTGCTGTTACACCTAGAGGAGAGAGAAATTTATTTTCTTTTACTTGACAGTCCAGAAATAAGCAAATGGCCTACGGTGATAAGATGACTGTGTTCCATGTGACCAATCTGGGACAAAGGCTGATGAAGCAACACAACTGTCTTCAACATACTGTTTCTTTCTTGGTCCAAGCCTAGAATTCCAGTGATTGCCACTTCCCAGCAGGAAAGAATAGAAAGAACATAGACTTGGATATTATGCTGAGTGTATTTTACCCAGAAATTGCATTCATATTGTGCTCTCACATCCCATTAATCTGAATGGAGGCAAATGGCCACAACTATTGCAAGGAGGGGTAGGATATGTCCAGAGCTGTGTTGACATGTGCCTATAGCTGAAAAGGTAGAAGGGGAGTATGCATACTGGGGAGCAGTTGGCTGTCTCTGACACAAATCATTACCAAAGGAAGTAAGAAAAAAGTTTTAAAATCAGATGTACTAAGCTAGAAGACTTACTAGCGCAAGAGGGTTTTGAGAGAGTCTGTTAAAAGCACAGAATATGGATTGGTGAAGATCTTGGTAGGAGGAATGGAAGCCAAACTTTTGTGGGGGAAAGCCAACCTATGGAATTGACCACAGTCAAATTTACAAAGTAAAGTGTCTTTAGAGAGGAACCAGGAGATGGTTCTGACTGTAAGAATTCATTCGATGCTAGGTTGTCTTTTTTCTGTGTGCTTTTAAGTTAGAACAAAAGGATGTGAGTCTCAGGTCCCCAGTCTGTGACCTTGAGCAATTTGCCTCCCCATTCAAAGGCTCTGTATTCTTAAGTCTAAAATAAGAGATAATAATCTTGCTTCTTAGGCTGTTAGAAACTATGTAAAATAATGTATGTAAAGTGCTTAACAATGAGCCTGGCCCTTGGTAAACACTTTATCTTACTAGCTATTCCGGTTACTACTAGTACTACTCCTGTTACTAATTAGAGCAGAAAAAATTTCTCCAGCATTGACTACTCTTGCAGTAATCACACTAAAGAGGTGATATGAAATGATACAATTCTTTTTAAAAATATTTTATTTATTTATTTATTTATTTATTTATTTATTTATTTATGTATTTATTTATTTATTCATTCATGAGAGACACAGAGAGAGAAGCAGAGACATAGGCAGAGGGAGAAGCAGGCTCCTCACAGGGAGCCAGATGCAGGACTCAATCCCTGGACCCAGGATCACTCCCTGAGCCGAAGGCAGACACTCAACTACTGAGCCACCCAGACATCCCGAAATGATGAAATTCTGTTGTAGTAATAGATATCAAATTAAGATGGGGTGGGGGTAGATTCTGGAAAATATACTAAAAAAACCTACAGATAAGACTTTGTTTTCTTGGAATTAAGCAATGGGGTTAAACAGAAAGGTTACAATGTGGTTGAAATGAAAATATCTTTTAAAAACATTGTTCTTTTCCTGATTACTAAAACAATACTATTACTTGTAGAAAACTTTAAACAAAAATATAAAGAAGAAAATGAAAATCACTCATAATCCTGCACCCAAAGAAACATTGTTAATCTGCTTCTGTGTATCTTTTCTTGCTCTATGTGTATAAACATGTACACATTGGAATTAAAATGTTTTAAGTAATTTTTCAGGAGCAACACATTTTATTTAATTGACTTCCTACTAAATGGTTCCAGAAAGCAAAACTTGGAGTGACATGTATATGTGAGTGTGTGCGTTTGTATGTTTGTGGTTGCATATGCACATATGTGTTAAGTTCCCCTGGTCCCTGCTCTTTACCATTTGAGAACCACCACGGGGCCAGAGACTAGTGATTCTTAAAACTTTTTTGTGCTATTGGCCATTTTTTTTTTTTTTTAAAGTGGAGGAAGGTGGGTTTTAGTATTTTTTTTTGAATTTTTATTTATTTACGATAGGCACACAGTGAGAGAGAGAGAGAGGCAGAGACACAGGCAGAGGGAGAAGCAGGCTCCACGCACCGGGAGCCCGACGTGGGATTCGATCCCGGGTCTCCAGGATCGCGCCCTGGGCCAAAGGCAGGCGCCAAACCGCTGCGCCACCCAGGGATCCCTATTACTGGCCATTTTTTAAACCTACTGAAAGCCAAGGATCCTTTTAATAGAAAATTTCTCAGCTGAGCATACAGATGACATTTCGCATTGTACAGAATTGCAACAAGTTCCTAGACTCTAAAACCCATTTGTGGCTCCTTAGGAATTCACAGACCTAGTTTCAGAACTCCTCCATTATGCCTTGCTTAAGCATATCATCTTGCCAAGGAACAGGCATGAGGGCATTCATGATTGCAATTGTCTTTACAAAGCAGAGTTCTTGGCATTTATAATTTCTTGTGCTTTTCTCCACTATGATAGAGCCAACAACACTGGAGGCAACCGGCCAAATGCAAACTCATGAATCAAAACCAAAATGGCTGCATAGATGCTGTTTGTTTTTGACAACCTAGAAATAATCTTGGAGAAAGCCTTTGGAGAGGTCTTAAAGGGGAAGATTGGATTTTGTGAACTCAAAGAATGTGTCATGATTTGGCTTAATCTAAGCCATTTTTATTCCTCTTTTCTTGTGTTTGGGTCTATTATCTGTCTGCAGAATTTACACAGTGAGACCACTGGGAAGGTCTTATGTCTAATTATTTGCTGTGCTGTGTGGAGTGTACTGCAGACAATCAATAAACAATCAATAGTAATTGTAGCTTGCTCAGAGACAAGCGTTAGAAGATTCAGCTGGCTTAGGTGGATGGTATTTTTCATTAATTTTCTTTTACTGGTTGTTTTCTGTAGTTTAAAGCCTAAATTTAAAGATTAAATGGGCAGCTTTCTTCACTTATGAGAACAAGCAGACATTGTTTTTTAAAGAGGGAATATATAATCCCAGGTGTTTTATCTCTGTTAATGAGAGAAATGTCTGAGTTTGCTTCAGATTGAATGAGCAGAGAAAGGGACAAGGATATTTGCATGGTTAAATGACTATGAGCCCTTCTCTCTGAAAGTAATATTCCCCTGATGTCAATTACTTTTGTACAGACATCTGGATGTTTATCGTAAGAGTGTACAGATGTCAACTTTTTCTGTATTATAGCTGGAAATGTGGTGATTACTTGACTTTGATTTGAGTAAACATAAAATATCTAACATTTAAAGTCAGAGGTGCACTACAGGAAGGGATTTAGACTGACGGGTATTAAAAAGAGTGGTTGGTTCCTTGGAAAAACTTAGAGCCATTCCTAAAAATACAGGCACTGATAAAGTAAACTAAGTCCCAGTTATGCTCCATCTAACAAATAATGGAATTTGAACATGACATTTATCTATTTCTTGAACTTACAGAAGCCGGTGCGGATGATATTGATATACTTCCCAATGGCCTGGCTTTCTTTAGTGTGGTGAGTATCTCCTTGCTTCCCTGGTCTCAGTGGAGGAGGTCCAGGGAAGTTGGATGAGGCCTGCAGAGCAGTAGCTTGTTTGTAAAATTCCTCACTTTCCAATATATGTTCTGGAAAAAAAATATACAGTTTGAACAGGATTTTGGAAAATGTCCTACAGCTTATCTAAATGCAGAGATGAAATAGTCTTTGCCACTTGACTAATTGCTCTTTGTGTCCCCACTGCACTAAAACGTTCCAATGTAGTCTCTGTTCCAAAAGTTTCTTATTAAAAAGCATACTTTGGGTGTGGTAGTGGAGATTCCACACTACCTTATACTTTTTCAAATCCAACATCTATCTTTCTTTCCATTAGATACTCAATTTTAATCTCATTTTCTTGTTCTTGTTTATTTTCAAACAAAATATCAACTTTCCCAGACCAAGGCTTTTTCTCTCTTCCTTTTTCCTCTGAATAGCCTCTTGTGAAAGTTATCAACTGAGTTTATTTATACTCTTCACTTTTGCCTTAATTCTGAGAAGCTGAAAAATAACCACTTCCCTGGGCATACATTAGAAAGACTGTAAAATTGATCAGCCTGTGTGCGGGCCTACACCAGTAGCCATCTAATTGGAAAACTCTGTAAGAGGGTGATGAGGAAGTTCTGACCACTTTTCTTCTCTGGCTTGGGCCCCTGTGAGTGTCCTTGGTATTGTCATGGGTCCGGTTTTTCTTGAGGAAAGCGGCCTGTGACGATTCTGTTCCCTCTTAGCATCCATTATTTTCAGGCTCTCAGACTCAGATGTGAAAAGCGTGGAGATGCTTCGGAAGAGTCACAGCCCTCATAAAACAGTTGTCAGACACAAGGGAAAGGAAAGAGTACTGAGTTTAGAGGGGATTGAGGGTTAAGGTGCTCATCAGGTTCCTGATAGTGTTTAGGTGGAAGACTGAACAGCTAATTGTTACCATTGAGGAAAAAAAGGAAACGTTTGGGCTTTGGCAAGAACACTAATATTTATATTAAATTTTTAAAATACAGCTTCAAAAGACAAGTTTTATGTAATCACCTACACAAAATGATTAAAATAATACTTCTAGGAAAACTCTGTATTCTACTAGAAATATGTGTTGGGAAGTACATGTTTACACATGTATATAAGCTTACGAGAAAACATTGGAACTCCTTGTCAAAATTATTCATAACTAGAGACACAAAAATCCTGAGGAATATAAAAAGCACTTGCTTTTTTTTTTTTTTTTTGGAAGGAGGTATTCTCAGATATATATTTTTTAAGATTTTATTTATTTATTCATGAAGGACACAGAGAGAGAGAGGCAGAGATACAGACAGAGGGAGAATCAGGCTCCATGCAGGAAGCCTGATGTGGGACTCGATCTCAGCCCACACCCTGGGCTGAAGGCAGCGCTAAACCACTGAGCCACCTGGGCTGCCCTGTCAGAGATTTTTGTAATCCAGAACTCAACTGTTTCAAGATTCAAACCCCATAGGAATAAATCTGAATGAGGAGAAGTGAGGTCTCCAAGCACATAAATCTATAGTCATTTTCACTGATGAGCTTACAACAGCCACAGTGATCTTATAGCCATCTCAATGGAATTTCTTCAGCTTTTTTGTCCTTCCTTGGTTATATGACTGTCCTTTCTTTTTTTCAAATTTAGAAACAATCCCACTTTACTGCTGTTTTTTAAATTACTCAGCTTTGTCTCTACTGTTTCCCAGAATGTACTCCTTTCTAAACAAGGAATGTATACCTACCTCATGGCAGCTGTCTCTTCCTCTTCCAAGCTTATTAGTTAGCCCATCCAACCCATCCTGTTCCATTGTTATGGGTTTGAGGGTCACCCCAAAACCAACATCACACTTAATGAAGAACTGGATGACCCAGAATGGGATATAAGAAAGATTTAAATGACAATGTGAGTGTACTTAACACTGCTGAACTGTACACTTAAAATGGTGAAGATGATAAATTTTGTTATGTATATTTTGCTGCAAGTAAAAATAAATAAAACTTTTAAAAAGAGAAAAAAGATTTAAAAGATACTGAGTATTAAAATCAACATGAATAGTTATCATCATCTCTGGTAGAGCTTTCTGTGCATTGAAATCATGCTCTTGTTTATGGGATAGTGATACAAAATAGAGATTATTAGCCACTGAAATGGCACTGCCATATGGCAATAGTGTAATTCCAGTTTATCCCGCACTGAGCCTATCAGCCTTGAAGTTTTATAATTTTGGTGGATTTTTTAAATTGGAGAGAATTTCTATTATTTTCAATTTTGTGCATACAGTGATACTTAAGTTTTGTATACTCTTTTAGATTTGCATAAAATATTTATTAAAAGATTTAAAAGAGAAAAGACCCAGATATTTTCAGTGAGTCCTCAGAAAATATTAAATAAAATTCAACATTTCATTCCTGATTGAAAGTTCCAAGAAAACAAGAAATAGAAGATAATTGCTCTGAAACTTACAGCAGGCTTCATTCTTAGTGGTAAAACATTAGCCACCTTCCTATAAATGTTTAGAAAGGGAAGAAAATGCCCCTAAATATTATAACTATCAGTAATCTACTAGAGCTCCTAATAACCCAATAAAACAAGAAAAGGAAATATGAGGTAGAAAAAAAGTAAAAAACTGCCATAATTTTCAGACATCATCATTACCTGCCTTTTAAACAATCCAAGACATTCAACTAATAGACTATTCGACCTGAGGGGAGAGTTCAGTGAAATGGTTGGGTTTAGAATGAGCATGGAAAAACTCACTGGCTTTCCCACGCACAGGGAAAAGCCAAATAGAAAATGTAATAGTGGGATACCTGTGTGGCGCAGCGGTTTGGTGCCTGCTTTTGGCCCAGGGCGCGACCCTGGAGACCCGGGATCGAATCCCACGTCAGGCTCCCGGTGCATGGAGCCTGCTTCTCCCTCTGCCTGTGTCTCTGCCTCTTTCTCTCTCCCTGTGTGACTATCATAAATAAAAATTAAAATAAAAAAAAAGAAAATGTAATAGTAATAAAAATAAAAATAATAATGTTCCATTCATAACAACTTTATTTTCAAAATTCATACAGAGAAATAAGCAGAAATATTTAAGACTGTTTTGTGAAAATAAAACAATGAAGTGTAGGAATGGGGACATGCCATAAATATATTGGCTATGTATAAAAATAAAGCTGTAGTAGTTAAAAAGTGGTATATTGGTATAGGAATAGGCCTAAGTCCCCAAACAGATCAGTATACAGACAGGGATCTTGTACATGATAAAGGTGATCTTTGCAATTAGTCAGAAAAGGATGAACTTTATGCCAGGCACTGCTCCAGGCCCTGGGATATAGCAGTGAATAAATGAGACAAAGTTCTGACTCATGTTGCAATGGGAAGAGGATGAATCTGTATCAGGTGACAGCAGCACTTGAGAAATACAGGAAAGTGGGGCAGTAGAGAGGGACAGCTGTGTTGAGGGTATGGTCAGGCTGCCATTTATGTATGTCTAAATATGTATCTGTGCCAAGTGGTGATAAGTGACATTTGACATAGATATAAAACATCGAGGAGCCCTAGATCTTGCAGGGATGGGGAAGTGATGGAGGGAGCATTCCTAGGCAGAGGGAACAGTATGTATAAGGGCCCTGAAGTGAGAATGTGCTGGTTTGTTTGAAGATCATCAAGGAAACTGTGTGCCAATAGGAGATGAGGGCAGAGACCTGGAGTGTTTGAGGAGGTGAAGGGGCAGGAGGCTGAGCAGGGCAGATCACACAGGTCCTTTGGTCAATCGGAAGAACTTCTACTTTGTAATTTGAGTGAGCTGGAGTTTTGATCAGAGGCGTGACATCATTTGGATGCTGGTGGGAAACCAACCTTCCATAGGGAAAGGCCAGAAAAAATGAAAAAGGGCAGTTAGTTGTGAGGCTGTTGCCATAATTGGGCTGGTGGTTTGGGGCAGGGCAGTCATGGACAAAGTGGTGAGAAAGGTTCATATCCTTATGAAGAGATGTTTTAAGGCAAAGTCAACAAGATTTGCTGACGGATTGGATCTGGGGTGTGAGACAAGGAGGCGAGTGTTGACTGGCATCATTCACCAAGACTTTGGGCTCTGTAGGAGCAAAGGGCAGGCTGAGGGCGTGAGGGTTAACAGCCCATTTGTAAATTTTCACTTCTGTCCCCATGCCTCTCAAGCCTGCCTGGTATATCCCAGTCCACCAACCTTTTGGGTATCCCCTTAAGAGACTGCACCCGAGTCTTGTGCCTCCACTCAGAAAAATAAGTTCTTGTTAATCTTGCAACTTGCTGGCCCCCAGTTCCTATTTTTTTCTATTGTCTCCTCTCTGCTTTCTTGCTGTTTGTAGCTATAGTGAAAACACCTTTAACCAAAGTTTCTATCATTTATTTATACTGCCATATATGTTTATTTTAGCCCATAAACACCCTTAAGCTTCTCTACTTAACTTTTTCCTCTGTTTTAAAAAGGGTTTAAAATGTCCAGGACTCCACAGCTTTTCCCCAGATAAGCCTGGAGGGATATTAATGATGGATCTAAAAAAGGAAAACCCGAGGGCACTGGAATTAAGAATCAGCCGTGGGTTCAATTTGGCTTCGTTCAATCCACATGGTATCAGCACCTTCATAGACAGCGGTAAGAGCTGATGAGCTCCCCACACTGAGAAACTTATCATGGTTTGCAAATAACTGGAAAATAGATTTGGATCATATCTATAGTAAGAAAAGAACAATTAACTCATGAATTATTTTGTTATTCTTCATACAGATAAATTGATCATTTACCTCTCCAGCTAGCAGCATCTTAGGCTCTGTTCGGAATTTCTATCAGATAACATCTGGGAGAATGTTTAGATTTCATAACCTTTTTCATATATCTATGATTATTGCATTAAAAAAGAGCTATATTTCTGAATTAAACTATAAACAGATTATTCATGAATTCGGTATATGGAGTGGGAAACACTCTTTCTTAAAGGTCAGGGGACCAATGATCAGAAATAACACCAGCCAGACAGTGATGGGAGAGCCTGGGAAGAAGAATGATCTGTTAGGTCCTCTAATGGCTTATACATTCAACCTTTCCCCGCCTGTGGTATTTAAATGTCAGTGTCTGCCCAGAGGTCCTATGGTTCTGTCTTGTAAATTAACTCTGTTCTTTCAATTCTTTAGACGACACAGTTTATCTCTTTGTTGTAAACCATCCAGAATTCAAGAATACAGTGGAAATTTTTAAATTTGAAGAAGAAGAAAATTCTCTTCTGCATCTAAAAACAATCAAACATGAACTTCTTCCAAGGTACTTAGCCCTTTTGTTCATTCTCCAGTTTATGTCTGGCTTTTCCATGTATTCCCCATGATGGTCCTTTCAGCCTTGATAAGAGCGAAAATACGTGTATGCATACACATACATAAGTACATGTGTGTGTGTGTGTGTGTGTGTGTGTGTGTGTGTGTGTGTGTGATTTCCTTGTAGAGCATGGAAAGTCCATGTCACTCCTAATAATCAGTGTTCTGTAAGGACTCCCTTGAGAAATGATAAAACACAGGATTACAGGGGAGCTGCTCTTCAGAACCATCTTGGGAGTCAAAGACAAACCTCACTGTTTTTCCTGCTGTCACCTTCCATCTCAGATGACTCATCACCCAAACAATAATACTTGTCCTGGCAAGGAAGAGTAGCCTGCTTAAATGAAGTCTGTGTTTTGTCTGGTACTAACACAAAGTGCTTCCACAGGGGTAGTGGTAGCTGGAGGCTGATGGCTGCACAGAATTGCAGGGATGCAGACTGGAAGTGGGTCACTCCTACTTCTAGAACACACAGCCGGTTGATAATGTGGTGAAAAGAGAGTCATGTGTATCTCCCCAGCTTTGCTTGTGTTAGCCTACTGCTTCTTTTGAGTTTGAACTTGATGAGCATTTTTAATTTCTCCATCTTTAGCTAGAGCTTATGCATGTAACTTCTAATCATTCTTCCAAAAAATGCACTTCATAATAAATAGGAGCATAAATACTGTCCAGGCAGCCTCTGCATCACGGTGCTGTTTCAGAAAGAGGGGACTCACCTCCCCTATAGCTCTGTTTCTCATTTAACAAAAAAGAAAGCAGCTCTTTCAGAAATTTTTGCATAGGGTAATTGGAATTTAAATTTAATAACGCCCTTGCCTAACTGGTTTTAAAAATGTAATTGTTTTTAGCATATAAATCTCTCACCTGCAGCATTGTGCTATGGCAATATCATCATCCATCTCTCTGCAAGTGTTTATTGAGTGCCCGTTCATTCTCGGCAGGTCGGCTTTGTGAGTCAGGTAGAAATTGAACAGTCAACCTTAGTTTGACTAATAACTAAGCAAAGGAACTCAAGAAAATCCAGCAACTGAGTAAATGAAAGCTAGGTAAATGTTATTGACGGCCTAACCAGCTCAGCAGCCAGTGAGGCTCTCTCCAGCTTTATACTATAGAGAGCTATATCCTTTCATATTGTTGCTAAACCCTGCATTTCTTGCTGTCAAAAAACATACCCTATTGGCACTAGGTTCTTTTTTCTTTTGTAATAGTCCTGCCATAATTGCTAAATGACCTGTCTTCAAATTACCTGTTATCATACAAAATTGTTCTCTGAAAAATGATATTATATAGAATCCATATGAATATAGCCATGTGAGTTTTAGCTGAGCTGTTCCTGGGAAATCTGTGACCAAAAATGTAAAGCACATATTGTGTATACCTTCCAGAGATTTAATCTTTAATATGGAGACCAACTGGCTTTTTATTTTCTCTCATGTGTTATTTTTCTCTCTTTCAGTGTGAATGATATCATAGCTGTTGGACCAGCACATTTCTATGCCACCAATGACCACTATTTCTCTGATCCTTTCTTAAAGTATTTGGAAACATACTTGAACTTACACTGGGCAAATGTTGTTTACTACAGTCCAGATGAAGTTAAAGTGGTAGCAGAAGGATTTGATGCAGCAAATGGGATCAATATTTCACCTGATAAAAAGTATGACTCCTTATAAGAGTATCTTCATTTCTCCTTAGTAGTGTGCTGGGTCAAATTCTTCACTTTGCTTTTTTTTTTCCAATGTAAAAAGCTTCCTTGATTTTTTTTGGTCTCTGACATATACCATATATATGTATATATACATGATATATAGCTCATATATAATATACTGTATATATTTATATATTTGTATTAAATAGTATTAAACTTATGTTAATATGTAATACATAATATGCACTTATATATTTACTTACAATATCTAAATTTTGCTATATATCATTATAGAATTTAAATTTGTAAATGTAAATTTTTATGAAGTGGGATATTTACATATAGATATTAAAGCATGAGATGGGTGCTTCCTTTTAAATGAATATATCTTTGTTTTATCAGCTGCATATTATTCCATTATAGGGATGATCCTAAAGCTATTTAACCCAGTTCTCTGTTAATGGATACATAGGTCTTTTTTTGTATTTTTTTTTTAATAAAAAATGTATTTGTCAGTTACCACTGAAGCTCCTTCAGATGTTTTTAAAGAACAGCTCCTTAAGGGAGCATTGCAGCATAATCCATCTTCATGTTTGGAGATGATACAAGGAGACCTGGGTTCAGATGCCAGCTGGGCACTAGCTAAAAGTACTATGAACTCTTCCTCTGCCCATTTGTACGAGTATTTCTGTAGAGAAAAACCCTCAAAATAAAACCACTTACTCAAAGAATGACCTCCTTTATTTATTTAAAAAATTTTTTTTTATTTATTTGAGAAAGAGAGAAAGAACCAGAGTGATAGGAAGAGGGGAGAGAGAGAGAGAGAAAGAGAGAGAAAAGCAGACTCCCTGCTGAGCAGAGAACCGGTTGTGGGGCTGGATCCCAGGACCCTATTATGACCTGAGTCAGAGGCAAATGCTTAACCAACCGAGCCACCCAGGTGCCCCAGAATGACCTCTTTAAATGTTAACTTTAATAGATTTTGCCAAATTGCCCCCCTCCCAAATGATCTCCCTGTTTCTATACGTCCAACTGTAACATATAGAAGGGATGTTAAATTTTATTAACTTCCCCGTGTACTACCTTAGCATGCTGAACAATTTAAACTCCTACAGATGTAACACAAAATAAATTTGGCATTCCTTGACAACTAAATGTCTTTTTTCATGACACAATTTCTTCTTTCTTGTTGATTACAGAAAATGGATGTAGAATCATTTAAATTGTCTGTAACTCTCCTGCCAAATCTGTTTTTCTCCCCAACTCTCATCTTTCAATTATGAAATTCAAACTTTCCAGCACCCAAGCTGCAAATTATAATGATGAGAGAGGATTCAGCTCTAACTCCTTCTCTGTCACCCTCCCAGTCCGACCAGCGAGCGAGCAGTGTTGCTTCCACCAGGGCTTCTGCCTCCCACCCTCATCTCCTTTCCTTTCCCCCTGACGTCTGCCTACTTTAGGTTCTCATCCTCTCTGGCTAGTGTGATGACTTTCTTCCAACTCGTTTTCAGCTCACTGACATTTTTTGTCTTGTCGCCAGTTTTGTCCTTCTGTGTTACAGGAGCTTTTAAGGCTTTCCGAAAGAGAGGGCTCAGTGGGCTTCATCTTTGACTCCTCCTGCTGAGCACTGCCAGGTGCAAAGCAAATGCTCAGTACTTGTTGAATGGAACTGACCATTTGTTATTATGCCACTTTGTTATTCTAAAAATTCAGCGGGACCCAATTGCTTCTCAAATCAAGGCAAGCTAAAGGCTTGGACTTGCTTTAATAGGCCAGTTTCTACCTCCTTTTTTGACTGTTTTCATACTTTCCCTGCTTTAGACAAAGAACTCATTATTTTGCAAATATGCGTCTCTCATTCTTGCCCCTGCGCCTTTGCTTGCGTGTATTTTTTTTTCTGCCTAGAAGGTTCTTTGTCCTCATTTCCTCAAATCCAGTCTCTCCTTCCACATCCACTGCAGATGCCTTTCCTTTGTGAAGCCTTCTGTGTTCTCAGGAGTTAGATATTTCCTCAGTCTCTAGACCTGAAATATTTCTTGTGCTACCACGAGAAATACCAGTCATGCTGTATTATTTGTTTGGTGTGTACAAACCAATCTGATCATCCCAACACACTATAACCTTTTTGGGAAAAGGCTGCCTCCTCTTTATGTGTGTCACAATACCGAGCTCATGGCTTTATATATGATAATTGCTCAATAGAACAGTTGCCATGGAACGGTCAATTCAATGAGTAAAATGACCATAGAGTAGTCCATTAATTCACCCTCCTTAGATGTAGACAGATTGTTCTGAATACTTATCTCTTACTCTCAAAATTCTCAATATGTTAATAAATATCTTATTAAGTATGAATGGCTATTAATAAATAATAAAGTATATTCTGTACCATACATTTCTATGTGAAAATGATACCTAGAAATAATCAAATTATATCACGGAATATAAAAGCTTTTTTCTGGAAGCCAAACATTGGTTTTGTCCTTCCAGTGGCAAATATCACAGACTTTATATTCAAAATAATGTTCTATATTACTTTTCCCCTTACAAACCTTTTGAAAAATAATTTAACAATTCTGTGATTGTTTGTAGCAACAATGAATAGATTTTGAAAGCTTACTTTTTAAATAAAAATTGACCTTTATCAAGGATTCCTTGAGGGCCCATCATTGATTAACTTCTTGGCAGGTTATTAAGACTTATTCTTCCATACTGTATTAATGAAGCTTTATATTGGCATGGAACTCTAACCAGTGTGTCCTTTCTGTGAAGGTACATCTACGTTGCTGATATACTGGCTCATGAAATCCACGTTTTGGAAAAACACCCTAATATGAATTTAACGCAATTGAAGGTAAAATACTTATTTTCATATATAAAAGAGGCATTAACCTATCATGCTTTGTAACTATGAAGTTACGCTGTATTATGACAGTACTTAGAACAGAATATGATGCCAGGGTTGCTATTCTGAGTTTTTAAATATTACCTCTGTACACCAGGCCAAATCTCCTGTCCTCAGCAATCACAAGGACTGACTGATTATATGCAGCAGAGGGTTGGGAGTGATATTTGCATCAGATTTAGAGCCCATTCCATGAAGTACTGATGGCACCCAATGAATTCCAATAAGAATTTTCACAATTGAAAAGACTAAAAGATGAATTCTGAAATGAAGATTTATGCACATTGTCAGCTCTTTCAATAATAAATGAAGGTAGAAATTGGGTTCCACACCATTATTTTCTTCCTGCTTGACAACACATATTTTAGATTGATTAAGAATTTCCTATTTTGCTTTGAATGAGTTCCCTCAGCTAACTGATCATTGTGCATCTTTTAAGGGAAAAGGAGTTCATTTTTTAGAAAGATTGATTATCACCCAAAGTTTCTTAATTTCAGGGAAGATGAAAAGTGGCTCTAAACCAGTTTATTAAATTTATTTTAAGCAATATTGGTGTTAAAAGGGTGGAAGCAGGGAGCTGTGTATAATTTTCCCATGTGTAAAGAGGCAAGAAAGGTTAGCCCTAAATTATTTAATCAAGTTTCTCAAGTCATTTAGATATTGATATTTTTTCATTTGGAAGGTACTTAAGTTGGATACACTGGTGGATAATTTATCTATCGATCCTTCCTCGGGAGACATCTTGGTAGGCTGTCATCCTAATGGCCAGAAGCTCTTCGTTTATGACCCGAACAATCCTCCATCATCTGAGGTTTTTATATTTTTTTAAACCTTAATTTTTCAACTTTAATTATTCAAGTCCTTTTGAACTAATAATACAGTAAACTGTCACAGGGATGGGTTCTTTAGTTATTTTAAACCAATAATACAATAAACTTACGCAGTGATTTTGTAAGTGCTTTAAGCCAATAATTGGCAGAATTTCACTTATTCAAATACTTTTAGAAAGATAATCTTTTGATGTATTAAATTATGGTGGAAACTAGTCAAAAGGCATTTTCTATAAAGACGTGCGCCCCCCTTGTGTGGTATACTGGCAATTTTTTTAAATACCTGGCTTATTGTCAGCTCACCACATGACATGGCTTCTGTTCGTGCCAGCGTAGTGTGAAAGTACTCACATTAGTGTGGAAGTATTTCCATTAATGCTCAATTACTATAATAACACTAAATCCTGTGTTGGCATGCAGTAGCTAGAAGGTTTAAGAAAGTACTTTCTTTGAAGGCTTAAAACAGTACTTTCATTTAAACATTAAAAAGATTGGTAACTGCTGTGTTTCAACAGCATGTCCTCCTAATCATTGTGTCATTGTGGAAGACAAGGATTATTGGTGATTGAGTGACATGGGTGTACGGTGGTTCTGTATTAATCTTTTGTATCCCCTGAATAGGTTCTCCGCATCCAGAATATTCTATCTGAGAAGCCTACCGTGACTACAGTTTATGCCAACAACGGATCTGTTCTCCAGGGAAGTTCTGTAGCCTCAGTATATGATAGGAAGCTGCTCATAGGCACTTTATATCACAGAGCCCTGTATTGTGAACTTTGAATTGTACTTTTGGCATGCAAGCGTGCTAACTTCTTTTAACACTTAATTTTCTATGAATTACTAATTTTGTGGGAATTTAACCAGCAAAATGGGCCCAGAAATGTCTGACATGTATAGTTAGTCTTATTTCGGCAAGGAAAGGCCCCTTCAGTTCTGATAGCACTTGTAACATAAAAGGAAAGGGGACAATTTTTAACAATGTGAAGGAGAGAGAACACAGCTGCTTCCTGTAAAGTGGATTCATTGAACAAAAGAAACCTCATCTCTGCCTTCCCACTGCCAGAGCATGCATTCCACTGAAGCAGGGTAAACTACGTGTCCCTAAAATGTGAGTAACCTCAGCTCCAACGGTGCGACCACTGTGACTGCTCAGAACTACTGATAGATAACATTTGGATGTTTTGTACTTACATCTTTGTTTACTCTTCATGAGTTGGGGTTCTAGTAAAGGCCAACTGAAATCCAGATTTTTGCCTGTGGCCTTATTCTCAAGGCATGTCCTCAGGAGGGGAATGGGAAAGTGGCCGCTTCCTTGTAGGGTTTCCTTGGGATAGGCAGGCATGGTGATGTTAATTTCTTTCACTGAAAGCTGAATGTCAATGGGCTCTTTATTTCAATAAAATGGAACAAAGAATCAACTAAAAAAGCAACTCCAATTCTCCATGAGTATGGAGTGTTCCTTCAGCTCTCTTCCTTAATGGCAGCCAACCTTGCCTACAGAGAGGAAATAAAAGGTCACTGCTGGCAGGTCATGCCACCTCCCCATTGAAACCACTGTGACCTTCATCAGAGAGAGATGAAGTCAGCTGTCCAGGGCCAAATGGTTAATCCTAGCCATGCTAGGGTCAGGCCCAAGGGTGTCTGCCTCCCATAGGAGAGTTCTTTTCATTCATTAAATGCCCTGTAAAATCACCTTAAGTCCTGGAGAGAGACTTGCTTTTGTTTCTGCCTGTTGTAACTTATCAAAGCACTTCGCCTTTCATACTTTTTTTTTCCATTTTCAGCATCATTATCATTAAAATATTTGCCATTTACTTAAACTTGCCAGATAGTGCACTAAAAATAGTACATTCATTATCTCATTGAGTCCTAATTACAGTCCTGAGGAAGTAGGTATCAGTGTTACATAACTGTTAACATTTCACAGATATTCAAGGTCACAAATCGAGTGAGGGGTGGCTCCCCATCTATTTCTAATGTCACAGGCTGTACTGTCATCCACATGAAGCCACTGCCATGGAATCAATGAGGATCTCCTTATTGGCTCTTTTACCTATTGTATAGTTTCTTCTGTTTTTTTTTTTTTCTTTTTTAATTATCAGTTTGAGTTCTGCTTTTCAATGAATCTTTTAATGACTTTTAAATGTAGACAGCAGAACTGTTCTTAACCTTGGCCACTGTCTACTTGACCTATGTTTTTATTTACATTTCAAAATAGTATCTTACTAATGTATATTGGAACTATTTCGTTCTAAAATCATGACCATTTTTTTGCTGTTTTCATTATCCATAGGAAAAAATATAAATCGTAGATGAATAAAGCAAGATTAAATATTATTCACTAGAAATGCAAAACCAAAAAGCATTATTTTAGTTTTTAGATGATAATAGTGACTATATAAAAGCTTACATTCATGAGAAGTAGCAGAATACAGGTGTAAAATAAACTTGTCTATTGTATTTATTAGAAATTTTATTTGAACAAAGGTAAATATAACTTGAATAAGCTCATGTATTATTTGTCTTAGAAATACAAAAAGAATTTTTAAAGTAAACTGATTTTGGCCTCTATGGGTCAAGGATTTTGTTTTATCTAATAACAAAGACTGCATTTATAAATGATGATCTCATTGTGGTCAAATATTGAGATTAAGAGTTTGGTTGGTTATGAAGTCAAGTCACTCAAAAGCACTAAAACTGCAATTGGGATATGTCACCACTAGGTGGATACAAGTCCCATGGGGGTGCGAGTGTCTTCATTCTCTTCAACATGACATCATGTTCAGTGACAATAGGTTTATTCAAATATCCTTTTGGTTTTTCACCAAACCTCACTTCTTTAACAACAGCTAAATGTCAACATTCCTAATACATGGAACAAGGAAAGTTAAATATAAGCTGTAATACAGTATTTCTGTCTCATTTTGTATACAGATTAATTATTAATGATAACTACTCTAAGGCTGATCCTTTTTCTAAAATCATTTTGATTTGATCAGATGGAATCCTATCCCAGAATCACAATGTAACTAGGCAAGTGGATGTCTCTGCAGCAAAGCAAAGAAGAATTCAACAGCACCCACTACCATACCACCCACTCCCACCTCTCTCTGGCTACTCATAATTGTCATTACTCACTTGGCTTTCCACCAAAGGAATTCTGAGTGTGAAAGGAGTAGGGTCGAGAGAACCCCAATAGCTCTTTTAGTTTTCTCTCCTCGTTTTCAGGATTTTTATTCCATAAAATAGAAGGCCGAGAAGAGGAAAAAAAGCCTTGTCTAATTTTTATTATTGCAAAGTGAATAACTTTCAGTTCACTTAAAAAAAAAAACTTAAAGACGTTGAATGGCTTTCCCATAGCCAGCCCTGAGCTAGGCATTATGATACAATGGTGAACTGGACACAGTGTCTGTATTTTAGTGGGAGATTCAACAAATGAGAAAACAGCTAATAGGTGATAGATAGCTAGACAGCTGATAGATGGAGTGATTAGAAGGAGCTAAACAAAGAAATGTGATCAGGGAATAATTTGGAGAGACCTACTTTCCCCATGCCAAGCACAACTTTTGAAGGGTTTAAAGTGGAGAAAATTTGAAAGAGTAGTTCAGTGACCTAATATATAACCTCCACCTCTGTTCACCAATCACCAGTTACCACTTTGCCACGTTTGCTTTTGTCTTCAAGTATAGGTGCTTTCAATGTTCTGAGAATCTATTTGAAAGCAAGTTGGAGAGATCATAAACCTTCACCTCTACATGGCTTAGATTGCATCTTCTAAATACAAGGCCATTCCCCTATACAACCACCATGTAATCATAACACCTAAGAGCATTAGTGATGCTTTTGTCATGCCACTTGATATCTGATCCAAATTCCAATTTCCTTTAATGGTTGCTTATCCGAACATAATCCAAATGCCTTTAGTAGTTGCTTTCCCATCCAACCCAACTCCCAATCTGGGATCCAGTCAAGGTTTCCATTTGCTTATTATGTCTCTTCACTACCTTTTAATCTGGAACAGTTGCTCTGTCATTTGTTTGTTTCTTCATGACACTTTTTTTTTTTTTTCCAGTGCAGGCAGGGTGTCTTAGAGAATGATCTGCATTCTGGACTTATTTGATCGTTTCTCCCTGGAGTCTTAGCTTAATTCAGTCAGTATCATTTATATTTCCTGTAAAATTACTCAAGGCTTGATTAGATTCGGGTTAAGCAATTTTGACAAGAATATTTAACAAGTAATGTGCTCTTCACATTGCATTGCATCAGGATATATGGACAGGTTGTTTCATTGTGATCCTGAATCTGAATAACTGATTCAGGTGGCGACCACCAGGTCGATAAGGTCGGTTTTTCCCCTCCATTTGTAAGTCCATGTGAATATTCTGTTCCCTAAAATGTTTCATCTCTTTGGTTGCAGCATCCGCTAATGATTCTTGCCTGGATGATTACTATATCGGAGTTGCACAGTGGCAATTTTCCTATCATTTCTAGCACTGATATTGGTAGGCAGCACTTTATTAAAAACATTCTCTGCTCTGGTCTCCCATTTGTACTCTTCTGCACTGTCTCTCTTTTTTTCTGGAAATCATTTGCTATCAGATCACAGAGATACTCTTTGTTCCTTTTCACAGGCTTCTATCTTGACTTCTGTCTCTAAAGTCAGGATAATACTCATTCTGTAGGAATTTAGTTAGATGATCTAATAATTTTTTCACCTTGTTAAAAAAACTCAACGAGTAAATTTTAAAGATCTTGTTGGCTTTATTCAATGATTCATGAATCCCATTCAGCATCCCATTGAGCAAATAGGAGATCCGATGAGCTGTACAAATGGAAGGCTTTTATAGGCAGAAGGTAGTGGAACAAGGAACTTATCTTAGCAAAGAGATAATTTTTCAGGCAAGGTCACCTTTCTTTGGGGGATGGGAGTTGTTTACCAGGCAGATGACCCCCATTAGTGCTGCCCAGTTAATTCTAGACTGCCTAGTTAAGGTTCCTGGGATAGGCAGTTAGGTTTTAGGTATGAGGTCTAAGTTTGGTCATGTAAGCTTAGCACAAATAACTCATTTTGGAGTCTGTTGCTTTTTTAACAGCCTCCTTTGCTAGTTCCTGTATCTCATTCAAAATAGAAATGTAATGGTTCTCTAGGGTCCAGGATTGAGTGCTCTTCCTCTTTCATCTCTCTCGTTCATTCCAGTGGTTGACATACCACCTAAACACTACTTGCTCCAAAATTAACATTGTCAGCTTGAACTTTGCAGTCATCTTGATTTGTCTTTGTCCTTAACAATCAGAAACTCTTCCTCATTGTATCTCCAAGTGATATTTCAAATCCATTCTCATCCAGCTCCACAGCCAGCTCTGTAGCTGAGCCCTTTGTTACCTCTTATCCAAAAGGCTTTTCCCAGTGGGCTCCTCTCATCTAGGATTTGCCCTCTCTAAGCCATTTTCTACTCAATAGTGAAGTACTCAGGTCACATCATATCCCACCTAAAACCTTTGTGCTCATCCAATCTCTTTGAGAAGGCCTGCAAAGTGTTACTGTGATCTGGGCTCTGTTTCCCTCTCCAACTTCGTCTGGCACCACTCTGCCTTGTAATTGCTAAAGCCACACTGATGTTGCATGTCCTGGCATACACAGAGCAAACTCTTTCCTTCCCCTGGATTGCTCCTCCTCCTGCTCTGTTTGGTTTGGTTTTAAGTAGATTCTATACCCAGCATGGAGCCCAATGCAGAGTCTGAACCCGCAACCCTGAGATCAAGACATGAGCTGAGGTCAAGAGTCGGATGCTTAACCAACTGAGCCACCCAAGCATCACCTCCCTCTCCCCATCCTGCTCAGTTTTAATGTCACCTTTTGAGAGTAGCCTCCCCAATTCTTAGAGATAGCGAAGGGCAAAGCCTGGAACAGTTCTCTGATAGGCAGATTAACCAATCCAGAGCCATATTCCTCTATCTACTCCCCACACTCCAGGAGACCCTATTCCTCTGTTGTAATCTTGCCAGGACCAGGTGCCAAGCAACTAGAGACCACTCCTATAGCACAAAGCCCAGCTAAATTACTCAAACTGGCCAAACCTAAACGGTTCACCATGTCCTGCCTTGCGTTTCCTGTAGATACCCCAAAAAGCAGGAACCTAAACCTCTCTGCTGTCCTCTGCCTCCTGATCACCCTGGTGTCTTTCCCAGGTGACCCTGCCTAGTGTGCCCTGCCTCCTGTCTCTAGGACCTGTAAATACAATAAG